ACAGTCTTCATCGCAGCCATCTTTTTCAACAAGATAATGGTAAATATCAGGAAACCTGAAATCTGGAACACCAGTAAAGTCATGAGTCCAATCCTTGAGCGAAAGTGGATGGGGAAGTAATTTTCCTCCTGGCAGTGTTATCTTGGAATTAATTAACTCATCCCGTTTCGTTGATTCCTCTTCAATTTTTGGAACTTTTATTTTGGCTGCATTCTTACAGAGCTCCAGTAGTTCTCCTCTTCTGCTACTCTTACCGTTAAAAGAAATTTGAATATCTCTTTCTCTTAAAAACTTTTGAAGCTCAGATACTCTCATATCGGCAAAGTTGGCATGGTTCGCTGCCATGCTGAGACAACTTCTATTCCCCTTAGCCTCGTCTTGGTGCTAAAAACTAATTACCAGACTTTCTCGCATTAACAATTCGAAACTAGCCTATTGTAAAGTCGTGTTAAAATAAGATGCCAGGTATTTAAGGCATGTGCTTTTCCCAGGCAGCTTCTTCACACTTGTGGGAAAGTAGTGAAATCCAAAAATATGAAAAGTATTTCACTATATGATCGGTTTCATGGTTGTTAATGGTTCCTACACTGTGCACAGGCATGGGAACACATGCAATAGTACATTTGTACATGAAACTAGAAACAGTCTTTGTGGTTGGTGATGTATTTGATGAGGAAGCAGTTTAAGGGCAGAAGCTATTTGTAAAACAGAGTTTTATTAAAGTTGGGAACTGCATTTAAGTTAAACTGTTCCTCTTTGAGACTTACATGTCTCTATTATGTGTAGTGGATAATCTAAGTGCCATGTGTGTATTAAGAGTGTCAACAGGTATCACGTATCACTTGTGAAGGACTACTGGTTAAGTAGTGAAAAGTCCTCTATTAGTGATTAATTAGATTAATTATCGTTAGATCCTTTGGGATTCTGTAGAGCAACTTTGTCAAAGCCAAAGGAAGTAAAAGTGTGAAGAGATCCTGTGATCTTCTAAGATCGTTTTCTTGTGTGACAGAAGTGTTCATAAACATAGCAATTATATTTTTTAGTAATGATTGTTTGATACGGATTTTCAATAATGCAGTCGAGATAAAAGAGATTAAAGCACTGCAACCTTTAAAGTACTTTCCTAGTTAGGGTTACTACAATTGTAAATCCCGAAAAGACAAAAAGGTTACGTTACTGATTTGTTGGTGTTCGCATTTACACATTTATCAAGTTTTGCTTGATGAACTGTATAATTTAAGGGCTTTTACTCTGTAAAATGTGCACATTTTTTCCCCTCTTTTCTATTTCCTTCCCTCTTTTTTATTTCCTTCAGTTATACAGTACATATTGCAAGAAAAAAGTACTTGTATCATTATATAATTACAATGTAGGCGGTAACATAATGCTAAAAAAAGTAGGCATATTAAAGGAGAGGGCAAAGGACAGTCTAGACTACTTGTTGTCAACTTTGTGGTCATGTTCTTAGTTAAAAGGAAAAAAACCGATACATTTTATTTATAATAGAATCTCCAGTTGACTTCTTTTTGTCCTAGATAAAGGAATTTCATTCCAGTTACAGCATTCAATAACTAGTGTAAATGTTGTTAGATCTAATATGAAAGAACCTGGATCTAGGTTCTCTCAAGACATGTCCGGTTGTGTAATTTTGTTGCATAGGTTTTATTAATGTTTTTACAATTAAAGGAAGAACATGTACAACTCGCATCCAACGTACGCTAGTCAAGGCGAGTTGTGCAGGGAGAAAAAAAGAAAAAAAAAGAAAGATGAGAATAATTCAATTTGTAAGCTTCAAATCACAGACTATGAACAGTAACAGGAATCAACTAAATGACACACAATAATTTGCATCCAGGGATAAACATCGTTACAGAATTGATTGGTGTAATAGGTAGCTTAATAAACTAAACAAACTAAACTAAACAGGCGAAGACATTAACAATGAATAGTTACAAAAAGTTATGTTAAATATAAATTAATTTGGGATAGTAAATTAGGTGCTTCAATATAATCATCCTCGCCTTCTGGAGCTGAGAATAAAGCTTTGCGAATTGATCTCTTGAACGCCAGTTTTGGTAGGTTACATACTTGAGATGGGAGAGAATTCCACGCTTTACATACATACATACATACATACATACACTTTATTGATGCTCCCTAAGTGGGCTTTTCAGCTCAATAGAATAAAAAAAATACAAATATATAAATTAATTGAGAATGAAAATACAATAATATTATAATTACAAAATATATATCAATAATATAATATAATATATCAACTTAATAAAACATTTGCAAGATGACGTCTAAAATTCCTGGGGCATTTTAAGGACTTAATGTTATCATTCAAGGAGTTCCAGAGTTTGGCTCCTCTGAAAGCAAAGGAGCGCTGCCCTGTTGACAGGCGACATAAAGGTATATCCAAAGCACCAGATGATCGAGTTTGTCTATTATGGACTTGAGAACGTGATTTAAACATATCAGCAAGATAGTCTGGAACAAGCTTGTTAATACATTTGTGCATCATAGTAGCGTCATTTAGAATGAGTTTCTCTCTAATAGGAAGCCATTTCAACGATCGCAACCCATCCGAAATATGGTCATACTTTCTTAGTCCCAGAATAATTCGCCCAGCAAAGTTTTGGACTTTTTGTAACTTGTCAATATTGCTGCTGCTGGTATTACTCCAGACAGTTGAACAATATTGGAGTTTACTAAAGACAAATGAATTTATTACTAACAGAAGTGTTTTCCTATCCAGGAGGTGCTTGATTCTGTTAATTTGGTACAATTTAAAAAGGCATTTAGAGGCAATCTCAGTGATATGTTGGTTATAACTGAGGTGTGTGTCGAGAAGAACACCCAAGTCCTTAACGACAGGCACAGGTGTTATTTCCTTGTCAAAAAGTGTTATACTGAATGATGACAGTTTCTTTAAAAGTTGTGGTAATCCAACAGCTAGAACCTTAGTTTTGTCCGGATTAATCAAAAGAGAGTTTTTACAGCACCACTGAGATATTCTCGTAAGATCTTCGTTTAAGGCGAGGATGGACGTGGGTAATTCGGCAGGTGAAAAGGACAAATACAATTTACAATCATCAACATAGGAGGCAGATAGACAACGTTTAGGAACAGAAAGGAGGTCGTTAACATAGATTGTAAACAAAACCGGACCTAAAATAGAGCCTTGCGGAACTCCGAACTCAAGTGGGAGTACTTTAGTACAAGTGGGAGTACGCTTTCGCGCCAAAGCTGAAAAAGGAATTCCGCTGTTGATTCAGACGTGAAAATTTAGTATGGTATTTGCCATGAGATAAAGCCCTTGTATTAAACGAATGAACCGAGCTGGTCTTGACAAATCACTAAGAGATAGCGTCTGGAGCAGAATTGTTTGAAACATACATAGAGTGTAAGATAGCTTCAAAATAAAGCAGATGGATGGGTAATATGTTTTAAGAAATAAAGGTATTAGGGAGTTGATAAATGTCATTTAGTTATACATAAATTAGGAATGGAAGGGCCTTAGTATGAACCCCTTGTGGCACTCCTTACATAACGGTGGCAATAGTGGACTTCTCCGTGTTTACATAGCCTCATCTAAACGCGGGGGAGAGTGCGTGTAGGGAGAATTCGAGAAAGTTGTGCCAAAAACTGTCGAAAACGTGCTCTATTGCTCATAAAAAAGCTGATTACACTTGTCTTTAACTCTGTCAGGAATCAGATTCCAGTGAAGAAGAAGAATCCAGTGTGGAAAAGCTTGAGGAAAAAGAGGGATGGAAGTTATTAATGAAGGCCATAGAATCCAAACGAAAAGAGCACAATTGAGTACTTTATCTCTAAAAGTGTAACCATTTGTATAGTGTAGTTATTACCGACACTCTAACTCTTTCACCCCCAGGGGTTATTGGCGCCTCAATTCTTCTTATAACATAGACAGGTTATGAGAAACAAGCAATTGTCAAATAGGAATTATGATCCTTCGTGTATTTTCGATCGCCAGCGATTCGTCTAAACGCATCACGTGAGCGACTATTCCTCAGCTGAAACTGGGGATATCCGAGGATATCACCTAATTTATATTCCCTAATTTACAAACCTTACGTCCACTATGATAAGTCTTCGTTCAGATTTTAATTCAAGAGGAGAGAGTGTTCTGTGGTTGTTAGAAAAGAAGGAAAATATTTGTTTGTTAATAAAGTCGTACGGGAGAACACTCAAACGAAAACATCTCACGTAGCAAACAGTAAGCTGTTTGTAAATATTTTTTCACGCACGTTGCAAAATACACGAAGGATAGTAAACACAATAGCCTCAATTCTGCTCGTATATTTGCCCTTGGACATTATTTGTTCCTCAAGTAAGGGTTATCGGCCTGAAGCGAGGGGTTATGTGATATATTCCCCGCGTGCGTTGCCCGAGGGGAATAAATCACAAAACCACGAGCTTAAAGCCGATAAATGGCTTATTTTTACATATGCGAGGATTCCTCAAGGAATGCAAAAATACACTGAAGAAAAGTGGCTCTATTCATGTTTGTTTTGTTTTCAACACTCCATGCTGGCATTAGTGGGATTCACAAGTTTCTCGGCTTTTTAATAATGTTAGTTTTTTAAAGTCGCATTTCGAATTAGTTGTTCGTCTTGTTCGTAGGGAATGCTAGGAACTGGCTAGCAATGTTGAGCGATTCAGAGTCAGAACTGTTTATTACTCAAAGTAGTTTTAGTGGGGGCACCTCAATTGAGGTTTAGGAAAACAACTTTGAATCTTTATTTGCGGGTGCAGACAACGAGAAAGCAGTTGACAATTTTAATTTACGCACTGAGGATCTTTCGACCGACCTTTTTACAGATAAAGAAGATTCCGGCCGGGGGATCACTACTGTAACCGACAAGGAAATTCAGGCGAGGAATGAAGGAAGAATGCCACAAAACACTAAAAGGGCAACTTCATGGAGTACACGAGTTAAGGATGACTGGGTTACAGAGCGAAACTCGTTACCAAACTGGTTTCTTCATGAACAGGTAATTTAAATGCGAGGGGATTATGTATTAATATGCAAGGAAATAAGTCACTTATCCCCTGGCATATTAATACATAATCCCCCCGCATTTCAATTAGCTTTTCATTAGCCCCGCTGTTCCCTTTAAACAATCAAGGCCGCACCCGGCTTTTCAGACAGTTGATTCGGGGGTTATGTAATATATTCCCCCCGAAAGGAACAAAGGAATCCGAGCTTACGTAAAAATAAAGCACGGTAATTCGCAAGCTTCGCTCTTGGAAAATTTCTCATCTTGGAACAGATAATGTCCGCGGACAAATATCTGTGCATATTTTTGTGCTAGATAGAGGCTATTGTTTATATCTTGTGGGATAGGACAAGACTTTAGTAGGAATTGCCAACGATCGAATTTTTTTATTTTTAGCGACAAGTACTGGTTCTTGAGCACTAACACGACAGTGTAGTTGTCAGATTTGTAATTGGAAAGTGTAGTAAGACAGTTAAAGGGAGAGTTAACACGTCGTGCCTGTGTTAGTGAATAGAATGTGCGTGCGCTGTAGTCACATTTCGCAGAGTTAACTGTTTTTACTTTTCGTGAAAACATGTTACTGATGTCTAATTTTCTCGAATTTTGTCATAGTTTTGATTAATTGGTAACAAGACTTCGTGTCCGATTCTGTCTGTAATCATACTCGTGATAAACAAATCGGACTCCCGCTTCGCGGTCGTCCGATTTCACACTGAATTGGACTCCTATCGGTCCAATTACTATTATTAATCATAACATTACAATTTCGTTAAATGTGATTGATGCATTTGCTGCCTTGTTTCTCTCTAATTATTTTGTGGGAACCTACATTTATATCTATAATTAATTGAATAGTAATAGAGAAATTATAACATTGCACTAAAGAACTGTTTCGAAAGGGCCTCCATGAAACTCTGACCAACTAAAGTACTCTTTATAGGTTGATGTTTCAAGTATGCTTTATCTCGTACTTGCTTGCGTGCCGGCACGCACTCGCCAGTTTGTTCCTTTAGATTAGGGTGCCCGAGCCTTATTTGCATATAATAAAGAATTTTTCATGATGTACTGGTTTCATCTTTTGTCATATTTGAAGATAGTCTAGTACGAGCCATTATTTTCTAGGTTAACAATTCCACTTTTTGTCTCCTTTGGGGACCAGATGTGTTTACGGAATTCGGTTCCTTCTCTTTTCTTCTCGTTTCTAAGTGTTGCTGTATGACAACGGAATCTTGTTTTAAATTGGGTCGCGGTAAGCACGATATAGTTATCCTTTCCCATGGGGCTTTCAACTGTGGCTTGGTACTAGCGTAGGAGAGAAAGTTTTACGCACCCAAAACGACTCTTTTTAAGGGAGGGTACCCATTGAGAAAAATCTTCCACAGGAACAGTTTGAAAGTAAGCTGTTCGTGCTTGTCAAATTTTGAAATATTAGTGCCCATAACAAGTCCACCCTGGAGAATATTTCACAATCACAGGAAAAATCGTGCAAGTGTAGACACAAACACAATTGCCCGTGAAGTGGTCGATGCCTAACCAAAAACATGGGCTAGCTACGCTTTTGCTTAACGGTGGGCTCTCCTCGCTGCTCTTCTGGTAGTAAGCCGGTACACCGCCCATTTGTTACCCTTGCAGATTCATGGGTGCCGCTTTGTCGAAGGATTCTTTGTTTGATGAGATTTCACTGAGGCTTCTCTTGATCACCAGGGGAATGTTCTTTAGGATGGAATGTGGGTGATTGCTTTCACGGTGGACATTTGTGTCGTTGGGATTTGCTAAAGGCTTGTAAGTTCCTTTAATCAGGTTCAATGTGACATCGTAAAAATACGTATATGCTGTAGTTCATTTTTATCTTTGGTTCAAATTTTATTTTCCTTTGTTCTCGGTCATATTAATGTATGATAATGAGTTCGAAACAAAGGAAAATAAAATTTGAACCAAGGATAAAAAA